TGATTTTACTTCCTTGTCTGGACTAGAGAAGAAAAACAGAAAAATTACATAATGAGAAAAACACAGCACAGACATTAAATAAACGAGCATGAAAGCCAAAGGGTTGGGCTAAAAAGCAATATAGCTCCCCCTGCAACAGCAACCTTCCTATTCATTTTGAATGAATGGAAGCATTCAATGCTAAGAATTAAATTGTATTCTGCCATGATTGATTTATCATCGGTATTGTCCATTATGAATACGTATTATCCATTATGCATAACCTTGCTTGATTTACTATCGGAAAAAGTGTTGTTTGAAGAAACGTTATGTTAATGCCGAGCGGTTCCATATGGAACCAAGCTATAATTTTACACAAACAACGAAAAATAAATATATGAACATATTTTTTGTTTATTACCATCACAAATGATAATATTCTCACAAGGAACCAAAAAAAAAATTCAGTGAATAATTCTCATCATTAATGGGTTAAGTAGTGTTCAATATTCAATAGCGTTCTAATTCAAAGCTGTGTCATATTCCAATACAGCTCACACAGCAATCGGAATTCAAACACAAGGATGTCGGAATTACATATTAGTAGAGTTTGAAGCGCGGCCGGAAGGCCCGGAATTCATCTCACAACGTGCCAAATTTAGTCACACAGCATCGGAATATAGGGATTTGGTAGATTTGCATTCTAAAGGCTTTTAAATAAATATGGCAAGACTTTGTGATGTTTCATTGTTGCTGGTACGTAGTGCGGTGTTTTGAGAGTCACGTAAAGCAAACAGAACTCGAGTAACGCATACGGTTATTTTTTTATAGTTTTCCTTTCTCGATGGGTCCTTAATGTGTCGGAATATACCGCGTTTACCCTATCCTAATTTTTCAAGATTTAAGCAAAGTTCTTTTGTATGATAATACTGGTATCCGGACCATGATACTCTACTCAGTTTACTGGTCTACTTAAGTAGTTTAGTTATAGGACTCAAAATCTAAAATGAACTTGAGAGAGTTGAGGGAGAGTAAAAAAAAACTCTCTACTTTCAACTTGCTTTGCCAGTTGCCACTATGCTGAAGGCCTGAGGCTGAGGTAATGCTGAGGGCCTGAGCTGAGTGAGGCCAAGTAATGCTTAAGGTGGGCTGGACTTAAGCATAACATAGGGATTTTCATCTGATCTGCCATCCTGCATCATTGTACTGCCACTTTTGCCATGGGGCAATATGGATAACTTCCAAGGCTCCAAGAGAAATGTCATAAAAGTGTGACTTCAGACTTCTGACACTCAATAATACCTGTAGATAGAAGAATGAATTTGAGATGAAGATGATGTACTAAGTAATTATTGCAGAGTTCAGGTGGCCAAAGCAGTTAATAGTGACTTCTTCGCCTTCAACCCATCACCAACCAACCAATCTGGCTCTAAATAATACCATAAAATGGGGTAAAAAGGGATGGTTTTGAGAGTTTTTTGTTAATAACTTCTTACCATGAAACATTTCAAAACAAGTTTAGGCTCATTTTATAGCTCTTTGCGAGGGCTATCGAATGGCATCTTCAAAAAAATTCCATATGCTATTTGTAATGTGCCAGACATAAAAATAAAACTGTCCCAATTTACCCCTGGGAACGGGTAATCCAGGACACTTGCAATAAAAGTCAATTTTAAAACGTTTGAAGCATGCAGAGTGTACTCATTCATTACTAACAGTACTCTGAAGTCCTCCTCTTTCAATGTAGATGATCTAGATGTAAAATAAATGACATTTTCTGTGTCTTTTACTTGTTTTTCCTTTATTGATATGATATTATCCTATTCATTAATTACCATATTATTAATGTGATATTACTGTATCCATGGACATGCCATTGAGCATTGACAACGACCTTGTCCACTGCAAACTTCATATCAGCAGCCATGTAGCATTTCTTCTGTATCTGTAAGCTTGCAGGATGGTTTGTACTTTCGCACAATTTTAATCGAGTCAAGTGATTCACTCGATTGTGAAAAACAGACCTGAAACAGAAAATAATGTTTTAGTGACAACCGTCATAAGTTTTGGAGAAATAAATCATCGTTTAGGTCAATTACTTTTCATTCTATGATGCTAGGTGCACAATTTATATTTATAGCATTCTATGTACAATTATGTGACGACCGATGATGCACTAATTTTTCAATAAGTGCAATTTTTTTTGCTGAGAGAGCTAAATATAATCAAAATCCTTTGTTATTGATCAATTTTTTTGATAACTGGAGCCTTTGCTAACTGAGGTTCTACTGCAAATGCATTTTTAAGGGTGTCTTTAATTACCCCGTTGGGGTGTCCCTTTTTACCCCGTCGCATGGAAATGGCTGCCATTTTTTTTTTTTTTTGGATGAGATAGGCAAATTCCATCAATTATGTTTTCAAGCTGACACCTGGGTGCAACTTTTATGCAAGTAAAATTTTTTAATATGGCAAATATTTTTTTTTTTGCTCCAGACTTTAGCAGAGGTATTTTTCCAAAATTGCACTTTTCACACTTTTTTCAGCAATTTTTTAGAGATAGTCAATGTTTGATTTCTTGACTTAATTTATATATAATAGATAGTAAAAATGTTGAAGTTTACGCCACTATTTTTAGTTTTGCAATATTTTTATTAGTTTAGCTGCTACAACATTTCTATGAAATGTGGGATGCGCGTCCCGATTTACCCCGCCTGTCCCTTTTTACCCCATTTGACAGTACTACTGCTTTACAGATATCAGGTTGATCTGTGATTTTCTTTTTGTTTGAGTTTTATTCTATAATTTGAGGTGATGACAAATACAATGAAGTTGTTGAACCTGATCCGTTCTACTCCCTATACCTGCATTGTTCGGTAAGTTCTTTTTTATATTTAATTAATTTACAAGTGTTTTGGGCATGACCTTAGAAATATGCCCTATGTAGATATCACTAAGGTTTTATTATATTTGTCTTGGTTCTACACTTTTATAATCTAGTGAATTACACTATTTTACTATACAATATTATACTATACCACACACAAAAAGTTATAGGTTTTTGGGGAATTTCCTCATGCAAAATGAGTTTTCTGATACCAATGGACTGCACAGTACCATCTCAATCCCAATCTGCAACATTGGGTAGAATTTTTCAACTTTCTTTAAACTTCAAACTTTCTTTTGAATGCTCATATTTAAATGTTTTGGCATGGCAGGTGGTGATGCAATTGATAGATCAATGGTCAGATAATTAGTGATTGACTGAGGCATGATAAGGAAGCCTCAAACACAAACAAAAAGCTGTGGTGGGTCTTTTTGGGAGGTGATTTCAAGTGACCATAAATGGTAACTTCCCCTTGAAAGGGTTAAAACAGTGCACAAAACAAAATGACAAACATTTAAAAAAGTATAGCCAACTAGTTTGTGACATAGCAATTATGAGCAATGAAGTTTAAACCATAGTAAACCAATCACTCTGTGAATCAAGAATATTTCACTTATTCACTGAACATGTGTAGTAATAGTGTCACCTCAGATAATCTGGTACATTCATATAATCACAGTTGTGAAAGGTACCTAAGCCCATATTTTCTCACTACTGGCACTGTCTCCGACTTATGTGATTCATCTCTCATTTACCTTCATGTCTTTCATTTTTTTCAATTTTATTCAAGTTTTAATGTCATTTTTATAGTTTTTATAGACTGCACTTCCTGCTCTAAAATGGCAAGAATTAGTGGCATGTGTGTGCCTCAGCAATTGAGTTGGTTTGTTTTAGAAAATTCCATTATTTATCTTTGGACCAATCATGGGGGAATCTGATTGAATAAATTTCTATTGTTGCATGTTTAATAAATGAAAAATATTACATTTCCTTTTTCCATTTTTAGCGCATTTTCTCATTTATGGAAAAAATGCACTATTGTGCTCGCCATGTCCGTCTGTCCATCTGTCCGTGAATTCAAGTTTTCGTCGACGAGAAATGCGCTCTCTGTCACTCACTGCAGTGAGTACTGAGTTATATTTTTTATTACATAACCAACACTCTATTATCCTAAAATATAAAATGTTATTCTCTTTTTCAGACAAGCTACTGGGTGTCCTGTGCAGAACAGTGGTCGGCGATGTTTTACTCAATCTCATGTTGCTATGACAGAAGTTTTGGCTCGACCAACTCCAGAAGGAGAGAAAAAGGTAATTAATATTTGTAAGAAATTTTAAAATGAGCAACTCCTGAAAAGTTTTATTATTAATCAATTTGCACCTTTTTTATACAAGTCGAATGTAAAGTTATGCACGAATGGCCTAGTTCATGTTTCATTTTGCACATTTCTTGCATAAATTTGTTATTGTATCTCCCTAAACAAACAACTCCAGGTTGCTTCATCTTTTAAATATCAACTTATTTAAATGTCTTTATCTGGTTTGAGTTCACTTCTTTCAACTTGCTATTGGTTCCATACTTATTATGTTTTTCGACCTGCATTTCATTCAGAAATTCTACATAATAATAATGAGTTCTAGAACTTATTTTGTTTACACAGGTTTACTCTACTCATATTGAGAAGATAGTGACATCTGTCAGCTACCTAACCTTGATTTTGTTTATGCAGGTTTACCTTGCTCATATTGAGAAGATAGTGAATGACACTTGTCAGCTAACTCTTATTTTGTTTATGCAAGTTTACCCTGCTCATATTGAGAAGATAGTGACATCTGTCAGCTAACCTTAATATTATTTATGCAGGTTTATCCTGCTCACATTGAGAAGATAGTGAGTGACATCTCTCAGCTGACCCTGCTCGAGGTGGCTGACTTGAATGCTGCCCTCAAGGAGCGTCTCAACATTCCTGATGCTGCTCCTGTGGCGGCCATGCCTGCAGGCATGATGGTTGCTGCTCCTCCTGTGAGAAAACTCAATTATTGTTCCACCTTTTATTATCTATTCTTAGGTTTGCTGACATATTGTTAATCTTAGAAAGTCAATCAACTTTATGAATTAATTTGTTACCAAAATAGTGAAGCCTTCAAGTTCATTAATGATTAGTTTTAGTATCATGGTATATTAATATTCAATTGTCTACTCTCTTCGTGATTTTTTGTACATTTAATTTCATTCTGTTTAGAACTGTGATAATAATGATGTGGTGATCTTTATTGCAGACTGAAGAAGACGAAGCTCCCAAAGAAACGCAGACAAACTTCTCAGTGAAGCTCACTGCTGTTGATCCGGCCAAGAAAGTCGGCGTTATCAAGTTCATCAAGGGTTGCATGGAGGGCTTCAATCTGGTCCAAGTGAGTGGCTATGTCTTCCAGATCAGTTTATGCTCTCGTTAAAAAGTTGATGTGTATTTATAGTCTGACTCAATGAGACATATTCTCAATCTTGGCTGTAATTTAAATTTTCTCTACAAGTGGAAACAATTGTAAGATACTATATCAAGCATTTTGATCATGAATGTATGTATAAATTGTGTTAGTTTATGATGTCCCTCAGGATGCTCCAATTGTAAATCAATTCACACTTCCATCAAGTTCTGTGCTCTTCAATTATAAGTTTTATATTCTGTTTGTTCTTTAGTTATTTGAATCAATTTAGAATGCATCTTATCAGAAAAGTTTTCTGTCAATCTACGAATAATTAATTATCTGACTAAATCAGCCAATCATTGGTTCCTTTTTCTCTTCTTGATTAATATCGGTTGGATAATATTTTCGCTTAAGTATATTGTTCGGGATAGCGCATTATTGACATTGTTATTCGTGCAGGCAAAGAAATTCGTGGAAGAGCTGCCGGTGCTGGTGAAGTCTGATCTCGGCAAAGACGAGGCTGAGAAACTCAAGGCCGATCTAAACGCTGTGGGAGCTGATGCTGTCGTCGAGTAACTCTCCTCAGCTCTCCCATAGTTAAAGCATTTCCCACACAAGAGTCTCAGTTGACAACTTTGCTCACTTGCGACACGAGAAAAAATTGAATTCATGTCAATCAAAATTCACTGTCATGCTGTGGCCATTTCATTGCATCTAATATTCTTCATTCACGGAGCAGCCTGTCCAAAAAAGCATTGCATTCGGTGCTATGCATCGCCGAGTTTTAAATAGTTTAGCTTCAACTTCTCAATTCCTATTATAGAAATCATCATTTCGACATACTTATTGTATGTTATTTCGCAGAATGAAGATCACATAGCAAATTAAATCGCATTTGTTAGCATTTGAAACCTCTAGGCTGGGCTTGACTTGTGGGAACAGGCGCTCTTCCTAAATTTGAGCTTTTGAGCATTATCTTGCCATTTCAATTTTGATTACGGAAACGAATATTAAAAAAAACTGTACATTGTATTGTTTTGTCATAAATTAAGAAAAAGTATACCATTCATTAGCCTTTTCTCCGAAAAATTTCTTTGCAGATATTTTAGACGGTACTGAAACACAACATGTTTGATGTTTTGGGGTTTGTTCTCTCATCACATCACATTTCAGAGCGAGTTGAGACTTGTACATTGGCATCAAAGCTCCTCAGGGGGGACTTCTGACGTGTGTCTGTGCTCGTTAGAAGTCCTTGAACATTTCGCGCTCTTAAGGAGATTGTTCCTGAGCGCCCCACCGCTGAGCTCGCGGTGTCTGACTGCAGATCTCAGTTGTGGGGTTAAATTATTATGTAGGTAGGATTCCTTACATTTCCCTTCTCTGTCTCTCTCGTGCGGGCGGCCGACGTCCCGTGTAAGCGACCTCTTGTTCGAGTGTCTTAGTTTCTGTTGCTTTTCACCTGTCCCTCCTTGTCACTTCGTCTCTTTGAGATGCTAACGCTGCTTCTCTCGAGCCAGCTTCAGCGGGCTGGACATCTGAGACCTTCGCCCCTTGTGGGTGATGATTAATTTGAAATTTTTGAATAACTGAGACCTTCCGCCTCACAGGCTTTGTTATATTATGACTTCCGGTGCGAAATAGCCTGATAGCTGAAGCGCTAGCAAACCATTGGCATCAAAGACCAATGTTTGGCAAACCATTGGCATCAAGTAACCAAACCAGTAGTTACTTGGCATCAAAGATACAAATTAGGTGCGAAAATCGCTTTGAGACTAGATGAGTTCGTTCCTTATCTAGCGTAGTCGCCTGCTGCACTGCCGCAGTGACGTCGTGACCTGTTGTCTTCGTTTCTGTCCTGATCTCTCGTGCTCAATGCCGCGTCAATTAAGTTTTACGTTGCTCTTTTTGAGCAACGGCGTGCTGATGGGCACTGTTACTCTGTGACTGTCTCCATTTGGCGACGCGGGTTTTATCTAGGGGTTGGAGATACATTCTCATGAGGAATTTAAAGGCAAAGAAAACGCCAAGAAAATTCACCATATCGATTTTGAATCGATTCAATATCGATATGGTGAATTTTCTTGGCGTTTTCTTTGCTTTTAAATTACTTGCGAAAAAAGCAGACTGATAATGTAAGTACTTACTCATGAACTCAACTCGTTTTCCACAAATTTATCCTGACGCTTAGTGGGAGCCCGATATCACAATAATTTATTATTTGATGGCAAATTTTTCATCGTTGACAGATATGTATATTCCATCCTGGAGCGTGAACGTACGAATTAGACTGAGCCAAAGTTTCATGAACGAAAACGTACTCTAGATTTTCAGAAAAGTAAACGTAGCTCCATCCGTCCTGAACATGATCGGAACTAGTTCTGATACCAAAACGGCGTCATGGTTCTGTTCTAACCGTTGAGGCAAAAGGTTCTTTGTGCTGAGCTCCCGTGACAGTAACCGGCTTCGGCCGGCTGCTACGTCATCTTTCTGGAAGTATCTTCCTCGAACTTTGAAAATGCCGTGCTGTCTCGCTCCGAGGCGTTGAGCCGGCGAATGGTACGACCAGCTATAAAGTGAAGTTTAACTCCTGAAGACCTATAAATGCTCCCGGCATCTACTAACTGCAAAATTTGTTACAAATATTTTAAGATGCCTCCATGTGTGGTTAGTGCCCCCTGGTTCGTGGTTAGTGTCCCCAGGTGAGTGGTTAGTGTCCCCAGGTGAGATGGTTAGTGTCCCCAGGTAGTGGTTAGTGTCCCCAGGTGAGTGGTTGGTGCCCCCAGGTGAGTGGTTAGTGTCCCCAGGTAGTGGTTAGTGTCCCCAGGTAGTGGTTAGTGTCCCCAGGTAGTGGTTAGTGTCCCCAGGTAGTGGTTAGTGTCCCCAGGTGAGTGGTTGGTGCCCCCAGGTGAGTGGTTAGTGTCCCCAGGTAGTGGTTAGTGTCCTCAGGTAGTGGTTAGTGTCCCCAGGTAGTGGTTAGTGTCCTCAGGTAGTGGTTAGTGTCCCCAGGTGAGTGGTTAGTGTCCCCAGGTAGTGAGGGCCTGGAGTGGGACTATCTGCCCTGGAGTGGGGCTTTCTGCCCTGGAGTGGTGCTCTCCGCCCCGGTGTGGTGTCCACTTTGGTGGCCCCGTTCTGCAACCCTTCAGCCATTGAGAAATCTTGAGTTTTCTTTTTCAAGACGCCCAATTTTGTACCTGAAAACAAAATTCAGTCAAATTCCTTGAACTATTCTGACGTGGGGCCGCATTGAACAAGTCTTCAGAGGCTCCCATAAATTCCAATTAAAGAAAAAAAGAAAAACGGCGTCATTGGTGGGAACGCCATGGTTTATCTACACAATTTTGCTTCTTCCTGAACTAAATGTTCAAATTCCTACGTATTTTGTCACTGTATGGTTGCTAATTTTAACGATGATTTAGTGGGAAGTTGAAGGAACCAACTTAATAATCCCAGCATATATGTAATCGGCTACGACTCCACGGATTTTTATTCGAACTGACGAATGAAAAGTTTGCTGAGGTAAAATTAATAATAATAGGTATTACGTAAAATCTGTGTCATCGCGCTAAAATTAGAATGCATAGAAGATGCGAATGCAACCAGTGAACGAAGCCGAACTACGTGTCCAGTTTTGGCAATTGGTGAATCTAGAATTCTAGATTGACTTCCTGGCAGTAGTAAAGCTGCGGGAATGCAAGTACCGCAGATTCCGTGGATCCAACGTCGGCAGTCGCAGAGAAGCGACCAGACGAGCCACCAGATTATACTGTGGGACAAAATTGTTAGTCACATTTGGTAGTATGTAGAGCTGCACTTGCAGGTTCGTTGACGAAAGCAGCACAAGGTTGGGTGCTGCTATTTCAGAAGACAGGACGAGAGCGACTGCCTGTTTTCCAACATACTAATATCATGATTAGCGCTTTTACTTCGTAAATTGGAATTCGATCGCATTTTTAGTTTTTACTTTATTTTACTTACCGTCAAGAGTTAAGTTGATTATTTAATTTCAACTCTAATTCAACTCTTCCGTCCGCTAAAATTTATAAATGCTCCGATTTCTATTCACGACCCCGGTAGATCGATACTATCGTTTTGCATATCTAAGTTGTGCGTTACACAACTCGATAAAGAGACAATCACGCGATAGTGCATTTAATTTCGCTGCTCAAATTTCTCCATCATTACTTCAGTGAGAACCGTCGTACAAATAATCATAACTAAATCAAGTAAATTTTCCAGCGAACTTGTCGATGGGCCGTTTCACCGATCGTCATCCGATGTGAGAGAAAATGTTGCTAAAAATTCTATTTTCTAATTGGTTTGCTTATTTTGAACTTATTTGACAATGCAGTCGAGTGTGAGCCTATTCTCTCGTTTGGGTAATAAACTCTTGGGTAGATATGCACATATCTCAAAAGTCGCCACGAATTTCGCTTTAGTCAAATTAGTCATCAGCCTTCCTAGGGTAGTTACAAGGCATGTTCCCGTGACTTTGTCCCATATGTTTCAATTGAATATATTATTTGGATGACATTTCTTTTTCGCATAAATTCTTGCGGGCCACACTGTAATTAGCAAAGAAATCAAATTTCTAAAGTTTATCTCGAATTTATTTCAACGTTTTTCTCCAAATAAATAAAACAAACTTCAATGAAAATTGTCATCGTTTTAGTTTAAAATGAACATGAGTACGGACTTGGGTGGAGTGAATCAAGTGTGTCAAAATCCACTGTACATGTTGGAAAAAAGTATGCAAAAGGGTTATATATTAAAAATAATTTGTGAGGAGCTAACATTTATTTGTAGGAGACCAACATTGACAGCTCAGGGGTCTGAACTGGTGGGCGGCGCATTGATTGTGGACGATGTTGAAGATTGAAAAGGCTCCAGCTCACGACGGCTTTTGCCAAGCATAACGCATACTTGTCGCTTTACTTATAGAACACATCAAGCCACGTTATAGCATTGATTGCGATGTCTCTGTAAATGACGGGTGCTTACTACCCTAACAATATTTAGAGCCGAGGGCGGCTCTGGATTAAGTGACGCCTACGACTCGGGGAGTGGAACATATATATAGTCCACGCAGCATCCCTATATATGTCCGCTTTTTGGTCTACATTCCGGTACCCGAATCAGACAGCTACAAGCGTCCGGTCCTTATTCTGCCAACTCTTGCCCTACTCTCAGGAGACTGTAAAGTCGGCAAGAAGGTTCAGACTATTCACTGATAGCGATCAGTTGGCCAACTGAACCATAATAACTCTAACGCGAACATAGCAACTCTGGAGCGGAGGCTGAAGCATACCCCGAATTTTGTTAGGGTAATGACATCTATATGATGTTCATTATTATTTTATTATAAAACGTCCATGCGTCACTGAACAGCATGCGACCTGATGATTAGAAGTAACAGAAATCCCTTATTCTTTTCCTCTTAACAGTGACAAACAATTTAATAGCAGCAAAATATAAGAGTAAACATTGTCTAGTACATAAAATTGCAGTATTTCATCAACTTTGGCCTGCACCTCGATCGCTTTTTGTTATTTGGATTCGTATAATAATAATAATAGGAAGGTACTTCTGCACATGGTTCCCTGGACTCCATTTTTAAAATATAATTCTGCTTGTGAATATTAATCGAATTAAATTAATGGACATTGTTACATTCGGCGTTCTCAATACAACTCTATTAAATATATATATCTCTATATATATTGCATATCATTATCAGTGTAGTCTTTATCACACATCTCCACAACAACTTATTGTATCTAGAGAGTCTATATTGCATTGCAATATTGACTCTATTAAATATATATATATAAATTTTTGTTAGACAAATTAATCAGTGTGGCAACTGGGGCCTCGATCATTCCTAATATATGAACATTTCCTCTTCTTCATCTATGGACTTGAACTACGAGCAAAATTTAAAACTATTAGAAACTATTGTAGGTCAATTTAATTGATTTTCGATCCGATCTACACGAGAATATTTCTCACCTGATATCTCATGAAGGTTATTAGTTTATCTTTCATTGACCAGGTTTGATAACTACAACAATACCGTTCAAATTTTGAAGCGAACCACTCTTTTTTTTTTAAATTATGTACCTAATTTATTATTCCATCGATCCCTCCCACTCGTTTCTGGTAAAAACGCTTGCATTTCTATTCATTTTCAAATCATTCTGAGCTGGGGCTCCGTATATTTTTTCGATGCATTGTGTTGTCAGTTAATTAGCTCTTATTTCAACAAAGCTTTCGCGAGAGAGAAACTTTTGACCCAACTCTGATCCTTTTAATCTTTTTATTTGTCTGTCAATTTTCAACAAAATGCTAAATAAATAAGCAAATGTGTATTTCCTTGTATTTTACTGCATTTTATCAATAATCCATACTTTTATCGCAGGTAAGTAGCGTTGCGCTCATAGCGTCCCGGAATTCATTCCTCTAAGACGTGATTATATATAGTTCCCGTATCAATATATAAACCACGACATAAATATTACAAAGAGAAGGTTACGATGAAACACTGGTACATTCAATATTAAACTAGGAACTGGACCCTGTTTATCATAAGTAGATAAAATCACATGTACAAAATAATGTAATCCTGACAAAATCAAATTTGAACACCTATTCCTTGCATCACTAGAACTTCCTACTTTATAATGAAACTTTGATGCGTAGCGCGATCTCCTAAGAGTGATGCGACGGTGGTATAATATAATGATAATAGTAATACCTAATCTCACCCAAACGTTCCCGGCCGTATTTTTTCAATGAGCCGGACCGCAGCCATTGTACTGCCTTCATAGCTACAAACGATGCGTGAAGGTTGGAATGGCCGTACACTAATACTGGTCGTACTTCGGAATGGTTACTTTGTCTTCACCGCTATGCTCGTCGCCGTACCCCAGCTGCTGATCGCCGTAACCGTACTCCTGTTCGCTAATAATTATTATTGCGCGGGATTCGTTACTTGACTGTTCTAATTCCCGGCTTTATAATCTCTGAACGTTGTCTCTCTTCTTCTCTCGAGATGCTTCGTTCACTGCTTCAATGACTTTGCTATTTATTTTAATGATGTTTTAAATGAAATTTTTACGATTCGAATTGTCAGACAAAAATTGTCGTAATAAAGAACTGGTGAGACGCGTCATACGTAGCAAGTTGTAATGTGGTCCGGCTCCGACGTGTGTTGTCAGTACTTATATGTAATAGTCAGTACGAATGGGCATTGCCCCTGCTGTTCTATGATGTAAGTGCAACGTTCTGTACCTTTCCAAATCTGAGTTGTTCGCTATTAAATATTTCTACAGCTTGTGGCGGTTAACGTATTTTCGGAACGTAAAAATGTTAGCTTGATCACTGAATATACTCGTAATACTCAATCCATGAGTGACCAGATATCAAAAAATCGTCCTTATAGATATCCACGAGCCCATCCAGCTGTGCTCGGGAGAGTTGACTATAATGTTCACGCACCTGCGCACTATAGTTGTGCTCCGACGAATGCTCATGTTTTAATGGATAATTTTGTAGCCCTTCCACCTGCAAACAAGAATTAGGTATTGTAATATCATGTTAAACTATAGGAATGCGCCAAAATATTTGATGCACTATCAAATTCTATGCGCTCTATAACATTAACATATTTAAATAAATTTTTTCATGTTAAAGTTAGATCTGAAACTCATCACCTATCTTGAACCTTGTATTTCACCACGCTCGTCACATTTTATTTACGAACGGCGAAACAGCGTCCTCCCTCCGTGTGCATTCTGTTTGTAAAAAAATCCTTATTATCCATTTAAAGAAATATTTTTTGCATTCCTGCCTCAAAACAAGGTACTCACATGATTCAAAAGGAAGTTTTGTTCCTCGGCGATGTTTTCAAATGCAAGAACGTAAGTGAAGTTCACTTGGCACAACGAACAGAAGAGTGTGTAGGGCTGCCAATGTTCATCCAACATTTTGCCGGCAGCGTACTGTTCTAAAATATAGTCCACGTATTGAGGAAACGTTGGGAAGCATGGCTTAGAAGTTCTTCTTTTCTGTTTTGTCATTTTGCAGCGAACTGAGTGATAATATCTTTCTTCTTTGCCTGCGATCTTGTCGAGATAGCTAGATAGAATTCTTTGGAAAGGCTCTCTAAGAATAACGAAAGAAGTGTACGACGGGTCGTTGAGAACTTCTTGTAAGTCTTGCATGGAAGGGCGTGGATATGCTGTTTTACGAGCCAGCTCGACTTCGGAGTTCTTTCTCACATTCGGATTTTTACCTGCCAGTGTAAGGAAGTACGCAAACCACGAAGACGAAGCTGATTTGAAAATACTGCACCATACAATTTTAAACTCCCTGTTTATCAAGAACTCTTTGTGGTTCAGAGGCACGGTTTGGGCACGGTTGCTGACTTCATGTTTACAAACTCGATTCATGAACTTTTTTCTTGTTAGAAACAGTAATTGCATTTCTTCTACGTTCTCGCGTCCATCTTCATGAGTGATGAAGTCAGACCCGCGATACAGCCACACGCCGAGTTCGGGGTTGCTGCGGTTATCTTGCTGTTCTTCCTGTACGATTAGACCCAAATGCTGTGTATCCTGGAACAGAATAATCACATCATGTACGTAAATTATGAGTGTCTCTTTTTTCTTTCTATATTTATGTGATCAGATCATTATACTATAGGTTAATTCGATCATCGAGTGCCTAACCTAATTTTAAGTATATTTCGGAGCTCTCGTGTCCTGTAAGTTCATCCGCCAATCATTGACGGCCTTTCAATTCAAATCCACCAATCACTGACAAGAAAATAGAGCTTAACTACTTACGTTCACTTAGCGCGTTTTGAAAGTATGGCCCCTGCTCTTCAGTTCAAATCTTTGTTTCATGATAAGAACAAACATTTCAATCTGTGCAGATAAATTTAATGACAATTTTTCGCGTGATGGTTAAAAATACGAAGTTTGAGTCTGTTGCAGCAATCATTAATGACGTTCGTTGATTTACGGCTCATTGACTCAAGTATTCATTGGAGAATAATATCATACAACTATTATGGACGCCGGATGAACACAGTTAAATTATAAAGTAAACTTAATCCTTGTATTATATTTGTCTTAAAGAAAAACTGAGAAAGTTATTTTAATAACGGTTTTTAATCAACTCCGAATCAATGAACCTTTCATCTCACCTGGTTAGGTCCGTCCACCATAATTGTCATCAGAACGGTGACCACTAAAATCGTGCATAGTACAAAGCGTGTCAACCTCAACAGCTGTCTGGCCATTGTAACATTGTACTGTATTGCATTGATAAGTTCTTGGTAACACGGCCTCCCTACTGCATTGATTCATCCGTATTACCACGGCTCCTAATCACTCCTGATAACCGGCGGCTAAATTTATTTCGTGGCCTTTGATGCGCCACCGGCAACTGCGGTGCACATCAATTATCTTATTATTTTCCTGGACCAAGTAATTACGCCATTTGCACTCCCAATTTTAATACGATGTGATCGTTTATTTTTTTAAATTTGAATAGATTTAAAGTGAAATATTGAATTCAGATTTCACACTAAATTCAATGTTTTATCTGTGTTGTTATGAAGATAACTAATATTAGTTGTGGATTAAATCTGGCATGTTCCTATAGAGTTGGTACAATGCTATGAGGCAATGCAATCTCATTAAGTGAAACAATCGTATAAGATGGTGCAATTCCATTAGGTGGTACGATGCTATTATACCAGATGGTGCGATCCCATATGGCGATGTAAGCCTACAAGGTGGTGTTCCGGATACACGTTTATGCGCCTCCAGATTTATTATATTTATACCTTAACCTGAGGACAAGGATTTTTAAACTAATGCGTGTGGGATAAGTAAGACACCATCTGCCTACATAACTTATCTTAATACGGGGTGGTTATACATTAGTAATACTATTCAGGTATAGGCTAAGAATTCGACCGTTAGGACGGAGTAGCTCGAACGCATGTTCGAGTTACTCGATGTGATTGTTAGTTACTGGGGGCCTTGCTAAGTTTCCCAGCCATTTATAAACTTCGTACTTCCGTTCACCGGGTTCTTCTTGTCCTCGTTACACATACTCAGCAAGCTCTCAGTGACTCAGTGTACTCAAAGTTAACTAGGTCTGCTGGATATACACATGAGAATTTGTACCCTAAAACTACTCTCGGACACCCCCCCCCCCTGGGAGAAGATCGTCCTCGATCTTAATCAAAACCAAGAGAACATTAGGATTGATCTATTTGCTCACACCGAGGCACTGCAATTAAATATATTGAGTTTGAATGTATATGTCATGTACATTAATGATCGGTGATCTTAATTTAATTAGGCAGCAAAGAAAATTGCTTGTACAAAATTGTGCATCTTCCTCTTAATCATAAAATTATAATGATATGATCGCACCAGAATTGTCAAACAAGAAAATCAATATTAGCAAGGGTCTGTTTCAGTAATTTTATTACTTTGCTAAAGTAAATACCAGCAAACTAACCGACATGTTGGCTTGAATAATGGATTAGCTACAGCTAATATAATCGGAATAAGTTTTCACTCTTTAATTTGACAATAATTTTATGAGTAGGTACACTTGATAATAGTTGTTTAAAATCATTTGATCCGCGTGCTTTGAAAATTCAGTGCAGATTATTGATATTAATGCAATTATTGCAATTATTTATGGTCTTTTCACTCTTGCATAACTCCCGCAAAACTCGTGTACGACGTGAAATTTAATTTATAGTGAAGCTTTACTTCGTCATTATTATACATTCATGTATTATACATCCATATCCAGTACATCCAGTATTATACATCCATATTTATATATATAGGGCATTTAGGTTAGTTATGCCAGGTCTTGGTGGCAGATACTCAGATCTCTCAATCTCTGAATTATTAAAATTCAATTAAATAATTTAGCCCTATTTATCTCATATTGATTGTTGAAGGGCAGCAATTATTCATAATATTTATTTCAACTATAGGGATGAAATGACATATTAATCAAGAATCATACAATGATGATAACAATAGGAAATCATTATGCGAGATGAATCCCTCGTCAGACGTCAAATGTAAAATAGATTTTGTTCGATTGTACGTCATTAACATAGTATCGGTTATACGTCGCTTGCGCATTGTAGCGTCGCTGCGTATTTTTATAAATATAATGGCTGATTATAATACGGGTCCATGTAATCTCTCATTAAAAATTACCTTGTTTGAACCTTTATATGACGTTATAACAGTAAGCATCAATAATACGTCTGGTTCATCATTGGCTCGGGCATTCAACAATATACGCTTTGCCAATGCATATATTCATCAATGCACGTTCCGTAAACCCCGCATTTGTCAACGGATACATTCGTCAATGCACGTATCCGTAGATACACGTGTCCGTCTACTCTATACAATTATTTGTCAATGCACGTACCCATCGTTCAAGGACGTTTCCATTGCTTTTTCACAGCCTTCAAGTGTAGGTTCACGTGTTGCGCGAAGCACTTCTGAACACTATTCTTTAGGATATAGTTGTTGTACATGCGTTATATAGTTAGTTGTCTTTCTACGGAAGCTGTCGACTCAGACAGACATCTAAAGCTGTCCTCTCAGCGTTTGAGGCAAGTTCTCAGTGATACAGTGGGTTCATAGCTAATTAGGTCTGCTGGTAAACATACGAGGATTTGTATCCACAATCTAATCGCGGACAGTGGCACGATCTAATGAGGTGGCACGATCTTATGTGGTGGCTCAATCCAATAAAATGGTACGATCATCTATGGTGGCACGATTATATGATATGGTATGAATAGAATAGAATAGAAGTGTCGGCGCTGAAGAAATAGGCCCATGGCCTGTTGCCGATTCTTGAACTTTTCGTGACTTGATTCACAAGGGATCCGGCCTTTGCAACCCGATCTTTCCATAACTGACGATTGATTGTGATAGCTGCTGGACTTACTGCCTGGTCCGTAATTTGCTAGGCATTTTAAGACTGAACATATGCTCCTGCATAGCTTCGTCTAGTCTTATTGCCTGGTCCGTAATTTGCTAGGCATTTTAAGACTGAACATATGCTCCTGCATAGCTTCGTCTAGTCTGTTTTTGAAGATGATCGTTTTTGAAGATGATCTCCTATATGATCGTGATCCTTGCACGATATAATGAGGTGGCACGATCCAATGACGCGGTACGATCCTAAGTGGTGACGCGATCCATTGAGGTGATACTATCCTATAAGTTGGTTTGATCCGATCTCCTGCCAACAAATCCAAAAAGGTATAAGAATCGGCCACAGCCCATAGCCTATTCATCAGCGCCGACACTGCTTTTATGCCGTGCTAAAGAAGAGATGGGGTTATTAAGCGCAACATTGGTAATGGATTAAATTTCCAGAACTGGAGGCTCTTTGTGGTCTGTTGTCTCGCTTGCATCAATTGTGCCAATCGCTAAATTGGTTCGGGACCAACCGGACCATATAGCAGCGCAGCTATAACTTATACACACTTAAATGATGAGAATATCCAACTAACTATCCCGAGCTACTGCTCTTATTCAAGCAATACAACAATCTCTGCTTTCAAGCTACTGCTTTTTACTGGGTTGCGTAGAAGTCAAATCTTTCGATTTCTTTTAATCTCTATTTAATGGAATGTTATAATAAACTATGTAAAAATTGAAAAGTTTGATTTATAGGCTCTCGGATAAACAGCAACAACGTATTTTAAGGGAATTTTTTTGTGGAATTTGATCCTACCGTGTCCGTGAAATTTCTTTCCCGTATAACTCATTCTCGGCGTTATGTGATTTTATTGAGTAATAGATTATTTACGCAGACTTCGAAAATAAGAGTCTCACCTTGCACGGTTATCTGTTTTTAAGGATAATAAAGTGATTCATTATTTAAAAGATAAGGCTGAAACATTCCTATGTGCACCCTTTCAGAGCTCCGCTAATCATACCAACTGAGCTACACTTCCGTCGAGCAGTAGCTTTTGTTGGGGTTATTCTGTTCGTCGTTTATTTCAAGTCGACAAGCAAGTATAGTTATACGAGTGGGCGTTTTCTAACTCAGACTTGTACGTAGGCTCTACGAGCTTCAAGTTGTATTTTGCAGTTTCGTGTATATGATCCAGGCTAGAAAAATATGTTTAATATAATAGGCATAAATTATTTAACATACGTTGAATTATTTGGGCGGGAGAAATTCAACAATCAATCTCTACATTAACATACGTTGAATTATCTGGTACCATCAGCTAGACATTTTCTCTGCATATCAATTCAACAACAAATATGTTTGAGTTGTTCGAACTTTTCAATTGCGGGTCATAGCGTAATTTTATTAAGATATGACGTTCTTGTATTGTAATGGAGAATTCAGAATATCGGATTTGTGTTCGATCTCATCAGCGAATCTTGTGAGTGGTTTCCATTTTGGTGCTTATTTGCAAAAACTGCGTACTTGCTCATTCATAGAGCCCGGCGGCTCTTTTCATATTTATTCCACACAAATAAGTAATTATAGTCTCTTTTTAATTCCCGTCCTATTCTAGCATACCACTGATTTTCAAGTTAAAAGATTTTCTGCATTGTATCTATGCAATTAATTCTTGATTTTTCATATTAATGTTGTGTTTACTTATTTCAGTTATTTTCGCTCTTTTTGGCATTTCATTTGACTTGAGGTTGATATAAATTTTCTAGTTGCAGAGCATGCTTGGAATTATATCTATTTCTTGTTGTCATGCGCAGTTTCGCTGGTGTGTATACACTTGATGCATATGATACATTGTATTATCCGCATCTATGATTGTATAGATAAAAAACAATTATTGGAAATTACAATTCACACAGTTGCAGTTTTAAATTTTATCCTTACAGATTTAATTCACTTAATTTGCATCACAATTCAAAGCTGTTCCACTGACAACACAATTTCTCTCGTGGACTCGCGACGGGCTCAGCGCCTGCTCTCAGAGACCGTATACTCGGCTATGCCAAACAGCCACTGACACGTGGAGGCTCTCCTCACTCACATCCACACCTCTGTCATGCCGACACTGACATGTGGTGGCTCTCTTCACTCACATCCACACCTCTGTCATGCCGACACTGACACGTGGTGGCTCTCTTCACTCACATCCACGCCGCTGTCATGCCGACACTGACACGTGGTGACTGCCACTGACACGTGATGCACGATTTACGTCCACTGCTCTGACAGGCTGCCACTGACACGTGGTGCACGATTTACTTCCACTGCTCTGCTAGGCTGCCACTGACACGTGGTGCACGATTTACTTCCACTGCTCTGCTAGGCTGCCACTGACACGTGGTGCGCAGACTCATATCCATTCACCTGAACAGAAGGAATCACCCCATTGAGGGAATGGTTCCGTATCGTGGTTCAGTGATAACGCGAATCTCACTTATCTGGGGAGACTTGGGGAGTTATATAACGGGTTCATTATTCTTAAAGGTTTCATTACTCGCAAATTTGGAGCATGGATCGAAA